CTGGCTGGTCCTCTAAGAGTCCTCCATGAGTCCTCCACAGCCCAGCGCTGCTGCACAGGTCTAGGAGCACCAATAGGGTCACACTACCCCAGTTGATGCTCAGACGCAGATTGTCGGTCAAGGCAACCATGGCAGTCTCAACCCCAAAGCCTGTCCTGAAGCCGGTTTGAAATGGGTCTAGATAATTGGATTCATCCAAGACTGCTTGGAGCTGAAGAGCAACCGCCCTCTCGATTACCTTGCTCAAAAATGGCAGCAAAGAAACAGGCCTGTAATTATTCATATCCAGGGAGTCCAGGGAAGGTTTTTTCAGAAGCGGCCTAACAGCCACTTCCTTCAGACAAGATGGAACATGTCTTTCCCTGAAGGATGCATTGATGATATCCCTAAGGAATCTCCTCAATGCATCCCCCCCGGATGGCGAGCCATGATGGGCAAGGATCGAGGGGGCAGGTTTTTTTCCTCACTTTACCAAACAGCTTATACACATCCTCGATACTCACAGATTGAAGCTGATCCAGAATAACTTCATCGACGGAGTCGCTGGACACCTCTCCTATCGATTCTGTTACAACAATGGTGTCTAAGTCGGCTCTTATCCGAGAGATTTTATCTGCAAAGAAGTTGTTAAATGCATCACAGCAGGCTGTTGTCGGGTTAAGTAAGGGATTTGGCACAGGGGGCACCTGTGATCTCCCTCACCACCTTAAACAGCTCTGCTGGACGGGACTCTGCAGACACAATACGTGCAGAGGAGAAGGCTCTCTTTGCTGCACGTATTGCCTCCCAATAGGAACGAAGAAAGTTCATATGGCGAGTTCTGTCGGATAAGAACCGAGTCTTCCACCACCTGCTCTCTAGTCATTGTCCAAACTAGTACCAAACACTCCAACTGTCCCAATTTGGCAGGGGCAGTCTTGATTAAACTTCTGTCATCAACTTTTTCAGCTGCTTTTAAAATACCCGTTTCTCTCTCTCTCCCACTTTCCTTCTTCATTTGCCAATTCCATCAATTGCTGCAAACTGTGTTCAGATTGCAAAAGTAGTTTGTACTCAGTTAACTCAGCAAGGTGACAGTTATTGGAATGCAACTAAAGAGAAAAGCTTGCTGTTAGAGAGAAGGGGAGAGAATCTTGCCCTTCCCTGGAGGCTCAGGCAAAAGCAAACCTCTGTAGCCACTCCTAGCTTATGTTCCACATTAGTAACTTTTGCCATTTTGACCATACTCTGATGTTGCTTGGCCACATGTGTTCCAGTTTTTCTCTGTAAAGTGTTGGAGGGTATGTATTACACAGAGGGCAACCATGAGCCTTCAAGTTGCCCTTCCACCTTTGACATCTGGATAGTGGACTGAACAGGTGCAGTGGTCACCTAGTCAAGGTCTATCCTCACTATGTTGAAATGCACTTATTTCTACTTGTAAGGTGGCAATAATAGAATCATAATAATAGAAGAATAGAATAGAATAATAGAATCTAGGGATGCAGTGGTTCAAGCTGATTGCAAGATTGGCAGGTTGGCAATTTGAGGCCTGGGAGCTGCATGATGGGGTGAGCTCCTGTCACTAGTCCCAGCTTCTGACAACCTAGCAGTTCAAAAGCATGCAAATGCAAGTAGATAAATAGGTACCACTTCAGTGGGAAGGTAAACAGCATTCTGTGTAATTATGCTGGCCACATGATCACAGAATAGTCTCTAACAAGGCTGGCTCTTAGGCTTAGTAACGGAGATGAGCACAGCCCCCTGTGGTCAGGCATAACTTGACAACTTTGTCAACCGGGAATACCTTTACCTTTAGAATCGTAGAGCTGGAAGAGACCACAAAGATTTTACATAGGTAAATCCCATTGATTCAATAGCTCTATTCTATATGGGATTTAGGCCATTGAGAACCACCACATTGACTTGCCCATCTAAAATATTCAATGATGTTTTCAGATACCTATAAATGTTAGAGCCAGGGAGCCTCACTTTCTGATACATTTTCTGATTGGGGGAATAAAATACTTATTACTACTTTCCAGCAAAGTTTTGGGGATGGAAAGGTAACTCACAGACTGAATGTTAACTGATTTACATATTGCTTCACCAAACTGACACATTTGTAATTACATCTGATCAAACTTTAGCTTGAAGTTATAAAAGGATATATGTTAATTAAAACAGGATTGCAACATGTAATTGAATGAGGTACAAAGCATAGTATTTTTTGACTCCTGCAAGATGCTCACATCTCTCACACCCATAAAAAAGGAAGAAATAATAATAATAAATGGATTTTGTAACAAGAGCTGAAAATAATCTGAAAGAAAAATATGTCAAGGAAATATTCAGATCAGCAAAGAACAATATAATTTCATTCTCCCCTAATCTGAATTAATTAAGCAAATGTGCCTCAAAATGTATGATGCCCCTTTTGTGAAGCTGGAAAAACATGACATCTGTCACATTCATTCCAAGTATGGGGGCCATCAGAAACTTCAGCTGAAAAAGTTCAGTATGTTAGGGGTATATGATAAGCATAACTTTCCCCCCTAAAATTCTCTGATTCTCATTATATTTCTATTAGGATTACACCAAATATTCTCCAGTTTTTTATTTTTTATTTTATATCATTAGGGTCGAGATTTTGTTCCCTTTTTATGAGTTATTGTGGTAGCATTATTTCCAATGGTTTATTTGACACCCAGAGTGGATACTTTTTTAACAGCTCCTCTAGCCAAGAAAGTTATTTTTAGTAATAATCATGGGCAAAAAATAACCTTTAAATACAAATAAAAACTCCAGTTGATCACATAAAACTGAAATAACTCAAGTCCTCTTTCTTTGTCTTTACAATCACTGTGCTATCATTATGTCAAATCTACTCTTTAAATGCTTTTGTTGTTACAGATGGAGTCTCCCTTATCTGGAATTCCAAAATCTGAAATATTCCATAACTCAAAATTGTCCACATGGGAGACTGAGATAGTGATGGATTGGATTCCATCTCCAAAATCACATTATATATATATATATGCAAATATTCCAAAATCCAATGAAATAAAATAAAATAAATAGTTCCAAAATCCAAAACACTTCTGGTTCCAAGCATTTCGGATAAGGGAGACTCATCCTGTATTATTTTCAAGCACCAGACCTTGTTCTGAAAATGCTGCCACAATTTCACTTGGCACCTATGCTTTCATTATATAGGATTGCAAGGAATGAGTCAGAGTGAAGAAGCTAATTATGCACCCACACATCCACACTGGAGGATCTAGACCTCCCTGAATGAGGAAAATAAATCACTGCCACCCTCTCTCAGTACCACAGGAGGAGGAATGGCCTGCACTGATAGCCCAAAAGAAAACAGGAGGCTCATTTTTTTCATTTTTTATATTATATCCCCCATTTTTTCCCATTTTTAAAATATTATATTTGATATAATATCCCAGTGTGGTGTAGTGGTTTGAGTATTGGACTGCAGCTCTGGAGAACAGGGTTCAATTCCCAGCTCAGTAATGAAATCCTCTGGGTGACCTTGGGCAAGTCACATAATCTCAGTGGAAGGTAATGGCAAAACTTCATTGAAACAAATCTTGCCAAGAAATCCCCATGAAAACCCTTAAGGTCACCATAAGTTGGAAATGACTTGAAGGCACCTAACAACAACACCAACAAACCTTATATGGTTTTCCCCAAATTTGATATGCATTGATATCCCTCCATACCATCTCATCCCAGAACAGCACCAACAACATCTTGACAAAATGTAAGCCTGTGACTGACATCATAAAAATTTCCCCTCCTGTATGATTTTTAACACCTTTGCCTGATGAAGAAGCCAGTGGAGCTATGAAACATCACAACATGTACATTTTCGTTGTACATTTTGGTTGCTCCAATAAAGGTATCACTGTTTTGTGGATTTTGGATGTTATTGCACTTTGCTATATGGCCAAAAGAAAATAAGCCTGTGCCTTATAGACTGTAGGAAAGCCTTTGACTGCATAGATCATGAAAGGTTATGGAATGGCCTTAAAGTGCCAATACATCTGATCGTCCTGATAAGGAATCTGTACTCAGGACAAGAGGCTACTGTCAGAACAGAACATGGAGAAACAGAATGATTCCCAATTGGCAAAAGGGTCAGACAAGGCTTCATCCTTTCACCCTTTCTGTTCAACGTGTATGCAGAAGATATAATAAAAGCAGGCTTGGGCACAGACAGCTGGACAGTTAAGAAAGATGATAGTAAGAAAACTGATGCACTTGAGATGTGGTGCTAGAGAAGAGTGCTAAGGATCCCATGGACAGCCAAAAGGACAAATACCGTAAGTGGGTCCTAGAGCAGATCAACCTGGAAACCTCCCTGGAAGCCAAGATGACCAAACTGAGGCTATCGTACTTTGGACACATCATGAGAAGGGAGGACTCTTTGGAAAAAACAATAATGCTGGGGAAGGTGGAAGTAGGAAGAGAGGAAGGCCACATGCCAGATGGATGGATTCTATTCAGGAGGCCACGGGTATTAAGGGGTTGCAGGAATTAAGCAGAGCGGTGGAGGACAGAGGGTCTTGGAGATGTCTCATCCATAGGGCCACCATGAGTCAAGATCGACTCGAGGGCAGTTAATAACAGCAACATGGCCATCATGGCTACCACTGGATATGTCAACCATTTTAATCGCTCTCTCCTTTTCCCAACTCCCAATCTTTTCTAGCTTCTTGTTGAATGAGTTCTTACCTCTGTTTTCTCCCAGTAAGGGATGATGCCATTGCTGCTGTTTAGGTGCATTACAATGGTTCTATAGCCATTACGTCTGTCCCTTCACTCAACAGCAGTAGCAACAGTGATAGCCCTCATTCCTGTGTGAGCACATGCTCCTCACAGATTCCATTCCTTTATGAAGAACTATTTCAGCCTTGCTTGAGAACACATGCACCAGCATACTTTCTAGCCCATGTGAAGGTCCTAAAAATCTCAGCCTTTGGGGGTGGGTGGGCTGAGTGAAGCAAACATGAGAATTGAAGGAGGATGGAAATCACTTTCTCTTTTGGACAATAAAAGAAAATGTCACAGTAGAAATAGGAAGGAATGCTGTTGGAAAGACTGGACAACAGTTACCACTATGCCTACTAGTTCATTTCCATGCCATCCATTTTCCCATCCCTTCTGTTCCCCATAACTATGTTCCATATGACGTCAGCAGGTGTATTATTTAAAACTCATAAAGAAATAAACAAGTGAGAAAAAGGATAGATTGGAGGAGTAGGAGAGTGTTGCAAATTTGCCTCTGGTACTGCACAGTCTTCATTTAAGTAAAGGAAAGGAGAACAGGTAGGGGGCTTTACTTAAACTTGAAAGGGGAGGGACTAGGCAGGATCTTTCCCACTCAAGTTGTGTGAAGACATGATATTGTTCTGGGTTTCCTCAGAACAGTGCACCCTCTCAATTTCTGTACCAGGGGTGGACCATACCCATTGCATACCTATTGGTATGACACTGGTTGTTTCCTTTTACATTTCCCTCCCTAGGAACAGCTTGTTTCTATTTTCTGGATCAGTCACATGGATGACTCTAGTGATTCTGAGAGCACATGGTGAGCAGGATAGTGCAATTGCTATGTAACTGCTAAGCATTAGTTATGAGAGAAAATCTCTTGAGCATTGAAGCAATACATATTTTATCAGTTGCACAGAAAAAGCCATCAAATCCTGGAAGTCCCTCAAAATGGAAAAAAAATAGCTACTTTTTTTCCCCTCTGGGTAAAGCTGATGGGATTTGTTGTCCAGCATATTCAGAAGGCACCAATGGACTACATGATGATGTGAAAGATAGGGAGACAATGTGTCTTCATTAACAAAGACCCTCTGTTTGAAAGATTTCAGAAGACAATCTTTTCTCTGAAAATGTCCACTGTTTGAAGTATTGTCCAGTACAAGTCTGCTTTAAAGTTTGTTTTGAAGGAAGAGCAGCAGCCTTGAAGCTGTCTGTTAAAAAGTAGCATCTGGACAGTAGACTGATGTGTTCATGTTCTTCCTTTCTGTGCATATATGTACATTGCATTTCTATTTAAATTACAATAATTTGCCGGAATCCTGTATCACCTTTTACTTAATGTAACTTTACATATAGTACTTAGATATATAGCAGAGGTTCTAGCAAACCCTTCTACTGAATTATGAAGATATATATTGGGACACTAGCAAGAGTGTCCAATGCTCATTGGGACCAATGTGCATTGGTGCATAATGCACACCAGCTACTGTTCTGGCTCTCCTACATAGTAACATAACTATAGCTCTCTACTGGATAGAGATATTATGAATCTAATTCCCACAAATGTAAGTCCACTTTTAAAAACATGTCTTCTGAACAGGATTCCAGCCATTATTTTTAATTTCACATCTGCAAAAATAGTATAGGCAAATGCTATACAAATATATGTATCTGCACCCCTCTTTTTTTGTGGGGGGTAGGTGGGTGGGTTGTTAACCTTTTTCTTTTGGGAGGGACCATTTGCAACTGACCACCCTGATCATGGAGGGCAAGTGAGTTCAACTGGGGGTGAAAACAAATTAGATCAAGGCAATTAAATAGAAGGGTAGCCTAAATACCCTAAATGTGCCAGACCCTATCTGATCTTGAAAGCTAAGCAAGGTCAGCCCTGGTTGGTACTTGGATAGGAGACCATCTAAGAATGCCAGTTGTTGTATACTATATTTTTCAGAGTAAGGAACTGGCAAAATAATCTCTGAGAATTCTTTGCTGAAGAAAACCCTATGAAATTCATGGGGTTGCCATAACTTGATAGGTAACTTGAAGCATTAGTGAGTGAACACACACATAAGTCAACAGGCCATTTCCGCTCTAAATATAATGAGAATCACACACCATCTGCTTATTTTATTCTTTCTCTCTCTCTCCCTCCCTCCCACTCTCTCTTTGCCAGTCTTTTTGTTAAAGGGGGAGAGCCAGCATGGTTTGAGCATTGGACTACAACTCTGGAGATAAGGGTTCAGTTCTCCTCTTTGCCATAGAAACTCATTGGGTGACCTTGGGCAAGTTACACAATCTCAGCCACAGCAAACCCCCTGACAGGGCTGTCATAAGTTGGGAAAAATCTAAAGGCACACAAGAAATTGCTAAATGCAGGTATTTTTCAATACAGCCAATTATTTTTGTACCTTTGAAAGTACTTTTAACAAAGGCCTAGAATCAAAGAAACATAGAGTTGGAAGAGATCACAAGGGTCATCCAGTCCAAACCCCTGCAATGCAGGAAATCACAATCAAAACACCCCTGACAGATGGCCATCCAGTCCCTGTTTAAAGACCTCCAAGGAAGGAGATTCCACCACACTCCAAGGGAGTGTGTTCCACTGTCAAACAGCTCTGACTGTCAGGAAGTTCCTCCTAATGTTGAGGTAGAATCTCTTTTCCTGCAACTTGCATCCATTCTTCCATGTTCTAATCTCTGGAGCAGCAGAAAACAAGATTGGTCCATCCTCAATGTGACACCCCTTCAAATACTTAAACAGGGCTATCATATCACTCCTTAATCATCTCTTCTCCAGGCTAAACATACCCAGCTCATAATGCCTAGTTTCTAGACCATTTTATTTGTGAAAATTTTACTGTTTAATTCATGAACAACTTGAACCACAATGCAGCTTGCATTACAGACTCTTAACACAGAGAGACACCATTGTGTTTGTTCTATATTATTAACAATCCATTATAGTTCCTCATCTTTTTGCAACAGCTCTTTATCATTTGGCTAGAAAGATAAGTTTATAACAAAAAGGTATATTCTGTGTAAATACGGTTCCTGGTAAAGATGAGATGGAATCCATGGCACAACTGAGGCTGCCACCGTCTATTTCCACACAACATCATCCTTGCTCAAAGAGTTCCTCAGAGGAAATATATTGTTTCAGACATTGAGCTAAGATGTTATTTATCTATTATCCTTTAAGCACTAAGGGAAAATGATACAAAGCAAGATGATAAAATCAGATGCTCTTATATAAGTGATGATGAGAATAAAGGGACAAGTAGCCTGACCAGCCTGTTTTAACAAAAGCTGTGATCTATGGCATTTGATGAAAGCAATCTCTATCTTCACAATTTGAGGGAGGAAAAAACAAGTTGCATTGTTTTCCTTTAGATTATTTTTTATTTCCCTTTGTGGTTCAGCTGAACTATGAAAGAAAAGAAAAAAGGACCCATAAATCAAACTACGTAACTCTTCAGAGAAAATGTTTTATTTCAAAAACACACAAAGTGAAAATCTTGCTCCTTTTATTTGATCAGGAGGGGAATTACTCCCCTCCTTTTTTTTTTTTTTTTTTTACAGCAGAGGGAGAAAAAAGAACTTTTTAGCTTATCAAATGTATTAATTATGAGTTCATTCAGATCTTACTGAATGATCTTATATCTCTGATCTTAAGATCATTCCGATCTTATATCTCTGGATTTCTTGACATACAGCAGCTGTTCATTTGACAGTTGTCTCTT